TTTGACCGACCTTTCTCTTCCATTTAACCCTAAAGAGCAGCCACCCTTCATCATCTTCATCACCCTCTCTTCACCAAAACTCAAATACAGAATATTCACTCTTCCATATATTTTGTTTCAATTAGATTTGATAAACTCATTTTTTTTTCATCTGCAAGATTCATGTTTCCTGGATTGGTGTGGTTGCAGCAGGTTTAGTCTCTCTTCCGGAGGCATGTCGACGCTCGAACTACCACTCAGAGCCACTTCGGTAGGCGCGGTCGCCGGCACCACTTAGCCTGGTGCCCGAACGATACTGCTCGTTGCAGTGTTGCCGTCGCCTTGGGGATCAATCCGCCAACCGTCTTTGGGAGCCTCTTGTCAGTCAGAGTCGCGTGCTGGTGAACCGTCAGATTTCTCAGACCGACGCAGCCAGAGCCCGACAGAACAACCGTCGCTATTGCCGGCCGGTTCCGACGCGGACCTCTCGGTCGTCCTCCGCCCCATCAGCTTCAGTCTCTCTTTAAGGATATCGGTCGTCATCCCGCCACCATTAGCCTGAAGCTACGGGCGTAGTCGCAGACGAGCCCGTGCGGACCACCGTCGTCTGACGCCGAGTATCTGTGCCGTCGCCGAGGTCAGGCAGACGCGGAGCCCGATGGTTGTTTCTGTCTTTCCTTCTGTCGTTTGTGGATCTAAGTGAAGATGCGTGAGTTTGATTTACGAATGTTGGAATGTTTGCCGTGAACTGTGAGGGTGAATTAGGAACTAGGAAGAAGTAGCAAAAAGGATAACAACATGAATGAGGATGAGGCCAATTTGGATTTGGTGGTGATGATTGCTGGAATGGAATTAATTGGGTTTCACAATTTGATAAGGATTGGGCTTTTGACTTGGGAGTGTGAGTTACGCATAGAAGACATGAAGATTGGGCTTTTTTTTTTCTCTAAAGATATAAGTTTGGGCCAAACATTTTCACAACTTATGTTATCATTATATCACAAGTTTTTAATGACTATTTTTTCTTCGTAGTCATAGAGTTAATAATTTCCTAACAAAAGAATTTGTCGTTTTTGTATGTTTTTGGAGACAATGAATATTTCGTCACTACTTCTATTTCATTGTGACATTTTTGTTATCGTCATATTTTTTTTTTTTTTAAAAAAAAATATGTGACGACTAATATTTTGTAATTATAAAATAAATCTTTCATGACGAATTATATGAAATATGATGATTTTTATAAAGAAAACGCTACAAAGATATTCGTCACGGAAATTTTGTAAATTCGATAAAATACGAAAATTCGTCATTAAAAAATGATATGTAGATGACAATGTTCAGTTTTTGTCATTTAAAACTTGTCTTTTTATGACAAAATAATCGTTTACATGACAAAATTTTCATAATAAACGTGACAATATTATCGTCATGAAAGGTGACTAAATAACATGACGATACTTATAAATGTCATTAAAAGTGAAACGTTTGGTGACAACTTCAAAATTTGTCGCCTAGACCTATTATGACGCGGCTACGGTGACGATCTCTGTGACGATAAAATTTCGTCATCAATTTACTTTTGTGACGAAAAATAAGGTTTACATGACGAATTTTATCGTCATTTTTTCTGAAATTTCTTGTAGTGACTATTAGGGTCATTCTTACTGTTGATGTTTATTATGGTTGGCCTGTCATACAACTAGACATCAACAATGCTTTTCTCAATGGGGATCTTTCTGAAGAAATATATATGATGTAACCCCCAGGGTTCCATCACAGAACTTATCCCAAGAAAGTGTGCAAATTGAACAAAGCCATCTATGGCTTGAAACAGGCTTCAAGAGCTTGGTTTCTTAAAGTGAAGGATACCCTCAACAAGATGAATTTCAGAAGCTCTCAAGCTGATAACTCCTTATTCTTCAGAAAGGGATCACACTCAATTACATTGATTCTCATTTATGTTGATGACATACTAGTTACAGGAAACAACACACAAGAAATTGAACAGGTTATTTCTAAGCTAAGTTTAAGTTTTTCTTTGAAAGATCTGGGAGAAATTCATCATTTCTTGGGTATGAGAGTTCACAGAACTGAGGAAGGCATGTTCTTGTCTCAAGAAGGTTATGCACAAGACCTTCTGTCAAAGGTATCCATGTACAATGCAAAAAGTACAAAAACACCAATGTCTACAAACTGCACTCTCAAGAAGAACCAGTCTGATGTTAGTGTGGATGCCACAATGTATAGAAGAATAGTGGGAGGTTTGCAGTATCTAACCATTACCAGGCCAGAGATTACCTTCTCTGTGAAACCCAAATGACGAGCATTGGAAAGCAATCAAAAGGATTTTGAAATATGTGGCAGGAAGCACATCTTTATGTCTGAAAATTCCCAAGACTACAGACCTTAACATGGTTGGCTTTTGTGATTCAGATTGGGCAGCTGACTTGGATGATAGAAGATCAACTAGTGGTTTTTGTGTTTTTGTTGGAGGAAGCCTTGTGTCATGGAGTTCCAGAAAGCAAAGTTCAGTTTCAAGGTCTGCAGAAGCTGAGTATAAAAGCCTTGCTCATGTTACTTCAGAAATCATTTGGATGAAGAGCTTATTTGATGAGATTCATATTTCAGGACAAGAAAGGCCAGTGGTGTGGATAGATAATCTTAGTGCCATTGCTATGGCCTCTAGCCCAGTGATGCATGGGAGAACTAAACATGTAGAGTTGGATTATCACTTTGTTAGAGAGAAAGTTGCATCTAAGGATCTTGAGGTAAGACATGTGCCTACTCAGTTTCAAATAGCAGATGTTTTGACTAAAGCATTGAATGAACAATCCTTCATCAAGTTGAGAGAAAAATTAAATGTGGTTACTCAACCAGCCTTGGATTGTGGGGGAGTGTTAGAAGTTACAGCTAACTCATGCAGTAAAAAGGGAACTTTACAGCACAAGGATAGTAACTCGGCCCTGCATGGTGTGAACACGAGCAATGCATGCAGAAGCAATATTGTCTTCTTGCATGACAAGGATAAGTTGAGCACAAATGAGAGTTGTATATCATCCTCTAGCTAAACCGTAGGATTTATCTTCAGTTTGCAACAAGATGATCACAAGTGTCCATGTTCTAGAGAGATCACATGCTAGTATAAATATTCTTATCAGATACTAGGTTTAGTGAGTTTTTTGTAACCATTCAGCCGCAATGTTTATTGAAAGAGAAAGAATGATTATTTTTCATATGATCTTCCTTAAGATTAATGCAGATTGCCATGTTTTCAGTGAAAAAATCTTTTTCGGCATTAAAAACCATCAAAAGTATAATACGTAACCGAATGGGTGATGAGCTTTTAAATGATTGTTTATTGCCATACATCGAGAAAGATATGTTTCTGAACATTAGTAATGAGGCTATCATGCAACAATTTTCAAAACACGAAAAATAGAAAAGAAATGTTGTGACCTTTCAATGTTATCGTAAGTTATTTTTTGAATACTCGGATATATTTCTTATGTTTATTTAGTCAGTACTTATACTAATTTATTTATTTTCAGTTGATATTTTTTTTTTTGTGCTATTATTATTTGGACCTCCCTCAATAAATAAAATTCCAAGATTCGTCACTGCTCATATTACTTTCATCTCTATTATTTTACTCGCGTATTTTAATGTACACTATTATATATCACAAATATAAAATGTTTTTTTTTTTTCTATTATAGGTTTTTATGTATGTTTACCTTTATCCTCTCATATACTTGCTTTTGAATGTAATCCTTTAGAGGATGATTAGATATAAAAAATTTTGGTTTTGTCTGGATTTTTTTATTTGATTTGGTTAGTTTTGAAAAAGTTGGTATGGTTAGTTGTTAGTGGATATGTTAAAATATTATTTAAAATTAAATGATTAAAATTGATTTGATGTAAAGTAAGAGAGATGAGATTTGAAGTGATGGTTAGTTAAAATTATGTGAGTAGATGAATAGTGAATTAAGGTGATGTTGTGTGTAAGAATGATTGATATGATATTATTTAATTATATTGATAATATTGATGATAGTGGGGTTGAGTTAAAGTTGAGTTAAAAAAGTGGTTGAGTTAAAAATGTTTGGATTTTTTTGAGAT